ATGAAACACACACACACACACACACACACACACACACACACACACACACACACACACACACACCTTACTTTCAAAGAGAAAATCAATAAAGGCGACACACACACGGACAGGAATTTTATCCCCCTCTCATAACAATATTAACAATCTTGAAAAAGCCCACCATAAACCACAAAATATGCCCAGCAACCATATCCTATTTACAAGAGCAGCAATGAAAAGCCATTGATGAGGGATCATTCTATTTCACAAATCGATGTCCATTGATTTTATGACTCCAAACTAAAGAAAACCATGGCACAAAAGGAAAGGAAAAAAGAAAAATTGTTCTGTGTTGGGGCATAAATTAATGATTGAACACGGGGATGAATACACAATGTTATGATGATGAGTTGGTGGCCTTGAGAAAGAGAGAGAGAGAGAGAGGGGGAGAGAGAGAGAGAGAGAGAGAGAGAGAGAGAGAGAGAGAGAGAGAGAGATCATAACGAAATGAAGTTCAACCTGGAAGCCCTGAAGATCCTCTGCTGCGGCGCGTTGAACATCATGACGGACCAGCATCGGACGTAGACCAGTAGCAACAACTTGAGCAGATTCAACACTGGGAGGCCAGGGGCGAAGAATGCGCCCAGCCTGAGAGCAGAGGGGTACAGTAGGTGACTAGAAGTTTATACTAAAAGGTGGAAAAAGGGACGACAATGAAATGGAGGATGTGGTGGAGAGGGTGGGAGGGGGTGAGAGGGTGTGGGAGGGTGTGGGAGGGTGTGGTGAGAGGAGATAGGTAACTGTTAGAGATAGAACAAGGGTGGGGACTGGATTGATGTTGGGGGTTGAGTAATATTTAGGATGTGCTTGTGTTGTGTTCGTATGTTTGTATGTGTGTGTGTTTGTGTGTGTGTGTGTGTGTGTGTGTGTGTGTGTGTGTGTGGGTGTGTGTGTGCACCTATGCTTTTGTGTTGGTGTCATTTATAATTTCTGCAGAAGGGCTACACTCCAGACGGTCAGAGAACAGGCTACGCTGCTTTTTCACAAATATTATCTCACAAATTATAATTTCGAAAGGAGAATAAAATCTGCTATGAAAACGTTTGTACTTACCATATGACACCCTGGTTGCCGATGAGATGTAATAGATTCTCTGCTGTCTTGAAGTCTGGGTACTCTGGCTGATGAGATATTATTAGACTATATTAAGAGCAAGTTTTGGGCTCGCAATTTCACACTCGAGCAAACTGAATGAATATATACAAACATACTTATACCAAACAGAAATATGGAACTTTTATATCTGTATGCTTCCACACTTCTGATGTTAAAAGAGGTACTGGAGGAAAGGACCCAGAAAGATTTGAACAAAACAATCGGGACTGATTAAAGAAGCAAGACTGGATATGGGGTGTCTTATCGAAATGGACTAAAGACCTGACCAAATTTCTGGCGGAGGGCTTATGCACGTCATCATACGTAGAGCATTAAAAACAAGTTTTATTAAGAGTTTTGCGTCGCTTGTGACATCTTTCAGGTCATGTAAGTGCCGAATTTTAGAGATATTACTAGAGAGTGACATTCAAAGAAAATAAGAAGGAGAGATAATGACGTTTGATACGATAGAAAAGAAAGAGCGAACTATACACGAGCCCCTGCGAACCACCAAATTGCAAGTTAGCATTGATAACAATAACTTTACTAACAACAAAAACACAGGGATTGCTTACAAATGTTTTTTCCAGGTCCCAGCAGCAGAGCTTGTTGCAGTATTTGATGAAGAACGTGCGGACCACATCGATGATGATGATCTGACCGATGACGAAGACGGTGTCCATGATGGTTAGTTTGACGACTTCCTAAGAGACAAAGAAAGCGTAAAAAATGACATAAATGAAAGAATAACTAATTCGTAAAATTAACATTACAAAGGTGTGCGACGAACGGACATTTTTCTCTCTTTGGAATCCCCCTCCGCTGTATTCAAGTGAGGTGCCTACTTTGACTGCAAAGGTCTGAAAAGATGGGGGGTTGATGAATACATTGTATTTGGAAAGATTTTCTTTGGTCAGAACACGACGTTTTATGTTAGGCTACTGTTGTATTGCATTGTAAAGCTCTCAGAGCCTTTGTACTTTAATTGGGGTTGAGCACTAGATCTATATAAATGTCATTTATTATTATCATTAAAACACATCTATCTAAATTTCATTTTACTACGCTAACTAGAATCTAGTTTTTCACTTCTTCCAGAAGCAACGACCACAGTGATTGTCTTTTTGTGTAAGTGTTTTTCATCAGATTGTGAGCATTGTGTTGTTGAAAAAAAAAAAATAAGCTGTGCGTTGAATGGGCCAGTGTGCAAGAAACGTTGATTTAAATTTTATTTTATAGTGAAGCACCTTGACTTGTGCGGGAGTGGGCATTATAGAAGGGATCTTTATTCACTTTATTACTGTTAGTGTGTGCGGGCCTAAGAGAGTGTGTATTTAAAAAAATCGTATTTCTGACTTTCTGATGGAATGTTATTATCCCACTCAATCCAGGATTGCACTGACAAGCAGTGTCGTCGAAACAGCATTTCTCCTAACCGATATGAATTGAGATAAAGAGGGCAAAAAACAACAACTAAACCCATTGGCAATCAATTTGAATCAATCACTCAACAATTCACACCAAAGTCCAAAGGATAACTCGGACAATACAGAGGAGAACGTTTGAGCGAAGTGACAAAAGTTGTCCGCTTTGTTACTGAGTCAGATCTTAAATGTCAAATACATTATATCCATTATGTTCAGCAATATTAAAAATAGTTTAGAAGCAACAGAAATATGGTTCAAAGGGAGAATGTGAAAATAAACATCATGGACAGAAAAGAAGAAAACCAATAAGTGCTGGAAATGGCAAGCATGAAAAGATCACTCATCAATACGGAGTCGACAGAAGAAATCTGTGGGGCACATAGATCTAGATCTATATAAAAAAGAGGGTTGGCACAACTAGGACACAAAAATCGGAAGGAAAAAAAATCTAAGGAAGCCAACACACACGATTCATATAATTATATAGCCTGAATACCTGGGCAGCTAACAACAAAATGAATAACAACTCATTCATGAGGGCTTTGAATAAAAGAGAGACATGGAAAACCATAAGTCTTTGTCTGCTCAAGACAGCACACTCGATGATGATGATGATGATTATGATGATGATAATGATGATGACGATGGTACCTTCTTTATACAATGATGATGACGATGATGATGATATAATTCATTGTATCTACGAGTTAGAATGTGAAAGAAAACGAGTAAGATTTCGATTTGAGCTTAAACAATCGTGTAGCAACACTCTTTGAAAGTTCGCGTTGCACCATCTGAGTTCTGTTCACGAAAATAATGTGATATGCCGAACAAAGTAAACAAAACTTTTCTAATATTGCAATAAATGATGACCGAAGGACATCGTTTTTTACGCAGCAAACGCGAGCTGTTTTCCCACGTTTGGATCCATAGAACGATTATCTGTCCGTATAAAAAAAAAAAATTCTTTTTTAAATCCCCCAAAGCGCTGTATCATGATCTCTGACTGTCTAAACAATATTCCCCTGTCAATATTCGCATGATATCCACACTTTATGTCTCCCATCGACTCACTTGTTTTGTAATTTGATGGCCTGTTCCTATCTCCATTATTCAAGAACAGAAACAAAACAAAACAGGAGCAGCTGAAAGTGTAAATCTGATCGAAGGGTTGGATACATTCACATACGAATGATGGAACGGGTGGACGGGGATATCAATCAAATAATCGATCATTAGATCAATGAATCAACGTGCGAATCAATTATTTCCCTGCTGTCATTCGTCCCCAAAATATGCACACGCTTTGGAATACATAGGGGAAAAAAATAGCAGCAGATGAGTTGAGCAATATTTTAAAGTCTATACAGCCGCACATGTTTGAAGCAGCGTTGACTTTCTCAATTCTTGCATTTATAAATATAATTTAGAGTTCTAAAAATTGTGCACCTGTGTGTGTGGTGCAGGGGTTAGGCTCTTCGCTATCACATGCAGTAGACCCGGGTTCGAATCCAGAATGGGGAAACATTTTTATCGAGTATTTCGGTCTTTCTGCAGGGATGTATCCATCTCAGCCCCAGTTAGCCCAGACGGAAACCCGCCTCCTAAATGATCTAATTTTGTTGACGGGGGGCTTAAAAACACATACATAAAAAAAAGGTTGTGCATTTGAGAATCTCGCCTTTACCTGACCAATCATTGTTTCCCAACAGAGTCCCGCGCTGCTAGACGACTTGGCTTGCTCGGTGCAACCGGCTTGACTGGTCAGATTTAGGTCACTGTTCGTCTTGGAACCTGTGACGTCAGAAGTTTGAGTGTTGCCTGGCAGAGTGTCATTCTTTGATGTGGACAGAACTGTGATGATAAAAGTAGACAGAATTAGACTCATTAGACAGAATTTGTCAAGGCTGCTAGATTAGCAAGAGGTATAAAATTAGATGTGTTTGTGTGTGTGTGTGTGTGTTTGTCTGTCTGTCCGTCTGTTTATTTTTTAGAAAAAGAGTAAAAAAGAGAGAGAAAGAAACAAAGAGAGAAAGAGGCAAAGAGAGAGAGAGAGAGAGAGAGAGAGAGAGAGAGAGAGAGAGAGAGAGAGAGAGAGAGAGAGGA